AAAAGACTGCACGTCTGCTTACTTCTAAGGAGTTAGCCATGGCTTCAAAAACTAAAAACAAATGTAAACTGACTTATACATTTATTCTTTGAGGATAGTGTGATTTTCATTCTAAATCCAGATAAGGACAGTTCAAGAAAATAAATCAGTTCATTTCTAAAATTCATATAAAATAATTGGAATAGAATCCAAAATGGACATAAAAAGTAATACTACATCATGTTCAAGTAGGAATTCTTTCAGAAATGTCTTAGCAGCAGAAAAATCAGTGTAATCTACCAGAGAAAAGTAATATTGACAAATGCAGTAAAATAATTTTACTAAATTCACCCTCAAATTATTATGTAAAATTCTCAACTCCAAACCAACCTAGCAATTGAAGGGTTCTCCCCAAATTCAATAAACAAATGTATGTTTTTCCCCACACGGAGAAACACTGACATATTTTCATTAAGATTCAGAATAAGGGTGCCCGTTCACCCCTATTCCAATGACAAACATTGGAGGTTCTGGTGAAAGTCATGCAAAAACTGAGAAAAAAGATTAGATACAAACTTAGGGGAAGAGAAGGGAAAGCGGCCTGGCCTGCCTTCTTCTGACCTCACAGTTTATCTACCCCCACGCTCCAACGTCCATCTCTTTCAGGCCCAGCATCCAGGACAGCATCTAGTGTCACTAGTGGGTGTGAATTTGCGAAGGGGGTCCCACCCCGGTTCTGAGGTGGTAAAAAGATGAGAGCGGCAGTGGAAATGACTGTCCGCGCGCTAGAGACGCGACCTTCCGTGACCGTGTCAGTTTTGGGAGTCGCCTTGCCCTGGCGCTCGCCCGCCACGTTCCGGGGTCGCAGCGCCCAGCCCGGGGCCCACCAGGACAGAGCGGCGAGCCGCGGTCCTCACGCCGGCCAGCAGGTGGCGCCCGGCCTCCACTGAGCGGCCCTGGAAGGGCGTGCGAGCTCCGCGCAGGAAAGTGCCCCCGAAAGGTGCCGCGTGTCCTGGGCTGCGCAACTCCAGGTCGTGGTCCCAGCGCTGCAAACTGTGTCCGGCGCCCGCCCCGCCCCGCGGCCCCGCGGCCCCGAGGCCCCGACTTCTAGGCTCCCGGCCGAGGACTGACTCCATGGGTTCGAGCCGACTATGCGCGGGCCCCGAGGTCGGGGGCGACGAGGGGCTGGGTCTGGAGGAAAGGACAAGGGGCCCGGCAGCGACCTGTCTTCGCACTTCTTGCGCCCGTCCCGCAGGGCCCCAGCGCGCAGCGTGGCGGGTTGTGCTGGGCCTGCAGCTGGCGACAGGTGGCGCGACCGCAGGTGACCGGTCTAGAGGGCGGCCGACCTCGGCCCTGGCCCCGCTTCCCTGGGCTGTGGCTGCCAACCACCATCACCCCGCGGGGCGGTTCGCGCGGGCTCCGAGCCCCGGTGGCCGGTCCCGAGCGCGGCGAGGCCCTGGCCGCCGCTCCCCTCCCCGCAGTGATGGATTCAGTGTCAGGGGCCAGGAAACGCCAACGCCGCCGGGGAGACTCGGTGGCGCCACCCCAACACCTGCTTGGGCGAGAAAGTGGCTCCAGGTGAGACTCGTGCACCCCCGCCCTGCCCGCCGCTTCCCTCCCCAGGTCCGTCCTCCTCGCAGCAGCCTTCCAGACCTCCCCCCCGTCGTTTCACCGCGGGACGGAACAAACACGTGGGCTCCAACCACCTACCAGAGCTTCATACACACTCGAAGGCACGGTCCCAATGTCGCCACCCGAGCGGGGAGGGAACAGCCGTGGTCCACTTCCCTGACTTGGACGCCTCTCCCCACCCTCCTTCCGTTACAGTCCAGGGCGGCGAAGGGTGAAGGGCGCTTTAAGTTGTCAGTCGCCTGGGTGAGCTACAGGTAGAGGACCAGGGGAGGCCCAAAGAGGCTGCTGACTGCAGCCGAATTCCCACGGGCAAACAGTGAGACCCAGAATTCCGGAGAGCGGATGCTTCCAGAGGAAGGAGCACTTTCACCTATTCCAAGGGGCCTCACACCTACTGTCTCCCTAGATCCCACCTTTGGGTGACCTAAGCCGTAGGAGCCACAGCTCCCAACTCATTCTTAAATTCTGCACCACAGCACAGAATCAAGTTGTCCCTTGAGGACTAACTGAAAACTTTTGGGTGTACCGCCTTCCCAGTGCCCATCAATTCTCCTAAACAGTAGCAGCAATCCTTTGCTCCAAGGTGATGGACCTGATCACACATGTGATAAGGACATTCTCGAGGTGTGAGCAGCAGAGGAAGAAGGGGTTCCATCAAATGATGAGAGTGAGAACAGCCACGGACAGAGCAAGAGACCTTAAAAATAATCCGGAATTCAGGTATTGACTTCAGACACATTTTATTATAATCTTAATACAGTCTACATAAATTTGAACTTGTATTTATTTGGGTTCAGTTATAACATAGCATAATAAAAATCAAAGCACTGGTCCTCTGAAATAAAGCAGGCAATCACCATTCAATAAACACACTTGATTTATTTTGTATAAAAGGGTTAAGTTTACAACTAAACTTTTATAAAAAGTTTAGCATGAATAAGTACATCATTACACTTTTAATGCAGAAATATACATCTCTGCCACTATACAAGAAAACTCTAATTAAAGAGTTCACAAGGTTTCACTCAATATATATATATATTTATGTATAAATATATACACAGCATTCAGTAGGCTTGCGTCAAAAAGGTAATTTCTGACCAAAAGACTTCATTTAAGTAACTGAATACTGACTCCTTCTGGTATTCACGCTCCACCTTTGAAAAAAGGCAAAGTCTGCTTAGATTGGGCAATTCCTTGTGATTTTAACATTTTCGCTCCCCATGGTGGGAATAGTATATAAAGAAAACCTTCCAGCTGCAGAAAGGGCATTTAAAAGTCTTTTTCATAAATAACGAGTATCACAGTCCAGGACAGAGAACACCCTGGGAAGATGATCATTCTTAGTTTTCCTTCCATTTGTTTTTCTTTTTAAAAAGGTCCATTCAATTTGTCCTCCTGGTGAAATGGTTGAAAAATAAGTTCAGCGCCTTAAAAGATCCTGTGGATTTGTTGTTGCTGTTGTGCAAAAAGAATAAAAAGAAAAAAAAAAGTCATGAACACCTGCAAAAGATCGGGAGAGAAAGGCATGTTTAGGAGAATGTAACCCAAGGGCAGAGGCCGGCAGACTGGCGCCGAGGAAGCCACAGTTTGAACATTTAACCAAACACTGGGAGATTGGGCAAACCCTGGCGTCCAGATGCAACACACACACTCAGCCTCAAGACAGCACAAATTAAACATGAAAATAGCAGAGACTCAAGGGAAAAACTTCCCAACCCAATCTCCTATTTGGATCTCCAACAGCAGTGCTCACAGGCGCCAGTCTGCTTCTTGTAACAATTATTTGATTGAAAACAGCCCTTTAGTTAACAGATAGGGAAGTCTGTGATCCCAAAGCAAAGGGGCTAAGGCATAGGGTAGCAGTCCTCAGCTAGTCCAGAGAATCCCAGAGAACTGCAGTTTTAGGGAAGGAGGATCACTAAGGAATTTGTGGCGATAAGATTAATTACAGTGGAGGTTAGTACCTCATAGTACTGGAGAATAGTGGGAAGAACCAGGGCATTGCATTCGCTACAAAAGCCAATACACACTCCTTATCCAAGGCCAAGGTAAGTTACTGGCATCATTTTTTTTTTCTTTTCTAAGGAAAATGTTCTGTGATCTTGAGGAAGCAGAGTGACAAGCCCCTTCACATCTGGGGAGAAAAGGTAGTGCCCTTCACACAGCGAAATAAGCATGGGTTTACTAAATCAAACATTTTACAGATACACAAGCAACATGGCCCAAGCAAATTACAAAAAACGTACGCACTTGTGCGAGCACACAACACACACACACACACACACACACACACACACACACACATTAAGAGGCACAAGCAACACTCACCATTTATTCAGCCACAGAGTGCTTTGCTGTCATTTGACATTAACTCAGAAGGGAATTCAGAAGCCTGGAGAGGAAAAGGATAAAAGGCACGAGGTTAGACAATCTTAAGGAGAAAGGATCTCGCATTAAAATTATTATAATTTAAGTACTCCACAGAGCAGCAAGTTCCCTTAAACACGTTTATGCTACAATTCAGACTCATGCATTAACATGTCAGAACTTATTAGCGATTTCACACACGGCTCGATCTAGAGCAATTTTTGAGAAAATAAAGTTAATTAGCTCGTGTGTAAGTCACGGTCTTGACAATGGACCGACTAGTGACAGCCCTGACGATCGCTGGAGTGTGGGGCGGCAGAGAGAGGGCATCAGGGGCAGTCTTACCTGCAAGGATAGGATGCTGATGTCCGTGTTTAGGGTGGTCAGCGGCGTCCTGGACGCCTGGTTCTGTCCGGGTCTCTGGTGGTGCAGGCTAACAATAGTGGGGTGCGAGTCCAGGGCGATCTGCAGGTCCAAGATGTAGTCGATGACGTGCTGCAGGATTTCCATCTTGCTCACCTTCTTGTTCTGGGGGATGCTGGGCACCAGCTCCTTGAGCTTGGAGTAACAGTCGTTCATGTTGTACAGCAAGCTCATCGGGTCGTCCACCGGGGTTTTGCTCCGGGAGATGCCCAGGCTGTGGTCCGACAGGCTGTTTTTCCTAACGGACCTCACCGGACTGAAGGCTTTCATGCTGACCGCAGTGGAAGGAGACACCGGGAGGGAGCGGGCTGCCCTGGAGCTCAGGCCGCCGCCGCCTGCTGAGCTGGCTGCGCTCGGCACCAGGATCTGCTCAGAATGAAGCGCGAGCCCGGCGGGGCGGCTTTTATCCGCCCTCGCCGGGGCCACACGCTCGGTCTTCCCTTCGTCTCCATTGGCGGAAGGCGGCGAGTCCATCAGACTGAGCGAGCGCTCCCATTGGCGGGCGCGGGCGCGGGGCGAGCGCTCGGTCCTTCCGCGTTCGCAGCCAATCCCCGCGGGGTGGGCGGGGCGGGCGCGAGCCCAGCTGGGCTGGTAAATAGAGTTCTGTAAACCCCGGGCTCGGAACGGCGCCCGTCATTCTCTTTCCAAATGCCCGACTGGACGCTCGCTCCGGGGTGAGCCCCTAGAAGCCTTTCACACCTTGGAGATTTCAGCAGCCTAAAGTCGTAACGACTAGGGCAAGTTCAGCACAGCCTGGGGAAAGTCACCGTTCACTGCAGCCCACGGGATAACGTCCCGAGAAAGACTGCAAGCAGTTCAGAAAGAGAAAACGCAAATAAGTGTGCCACTGAAAAGTCACATTTGTAGAGTGAGTTCCGTCTTTTAGGATGAGGAAAGCTATGTTTAAGAAAAAACACCCATGCATGCATTAAAGGACGGGTTTAGTGTGGGATTTTGCAAGCTGGAGCAACTGGGTAAGCACTATTGGAAACTCAGTAAAATGAGTACTTATTGGAAACCAAGCCTAACCTTGCCCTGACCTCTGAGGAGCTGTGAGGGGCTTGATACTTACAGGTTTCTTTTTTTTCCCCAAGAACGAGGCAAGACTATTATAATGATCCTATTAATCGGAAATCATTAGCAGAATTTGCATATTGAAAGTACATTTACATACACTGCCCTTGAAAGGCTGTGGGTCTATGCCCTTCAGTGTAGGTGGCAAAGTAAGGTGATTAATTATGCACATTCAGTGATTCCTGGTGTCACATTCCGGCACCTACAGTATTTCTAAAACTCTGGGGTGTGCCCCAAGAAACCTTTCACCCTTGGAGATTTCACAAGGCCCTGATAGGTGGCCTTTAGCCCACTGACATCTTAACACTTATTTTTAAAGAAAATTATGTTATTATGAGGATTGGAATCTTTTGAGTACTGGTACTAGATGGGTTTTCAGGGTTGGTTCGTTTGGCTGTAAATCCTTAAAAACATAGTCTTTCAGTCCAATTAAAAATATTCATACTATTGATTCAAATATTTTAATTCACACATAATTCTAGCTCAACTTAGGACCACAAAAATCATATTCCTCTAGAAAACAATAAACTAGAAACCCCCAGAAAACGTAATATTTGTTTCTTGCTTACTTTTTGTTTCAATCTCCCTGTCCTCTGCATTTCAGAAAGAGGAAGAGGCTGAACTGGCGACTAGAAGCAAAGCCCAATAATAGGGAAACGGTATTTCTTCCTTCAATTAATGATTAATTCCTCAGCTGGTGGGCCAGGCGGTCTCTGACCTCCACGTGACAGCCATGTGCCCCAGGGCTTCTCTCTTGGGAGGCAGATTTGGTGGCCACCTCACTTTGGAGGATGAAGGTGGAGGATTCCTACCCACGGAGAGATCTGCGGAGTGCCTTCACGAGGCCCTGAAACCCTAGCCTGCAATTCTCTTCCTGACAGCGTTCCATTAACGTTGCCTCTGATATTAAGTCTGGAAGTGATTTACTACCCGAGTCCCCCCACAGTTCGAGCCTTTTGATGTACTTTGTGTGCATGTGTTTCTGTCACATACGTGCCACAGTGGAACAGATTTTGTTTTGACACTATTTTGGTTCATGATGTTATACTTTGACTATTTTACAATAATAGCCAATGTAAACAAACATCTTTGGGATTCTCAAATTATTACTTATGATTCTTGGACATTGCAGCTCCGCGATACTGACGCATTCCTAGCTTTTTCCAAGGACACCGTATGTTAACATCCGTGCCAGCCTCATTATCCCAACAGTGAGGCTCTGGGCTGATGGTAATGAGCATTGTGCGGTATTACTTTACGCACTTGCAGAGTTGATTCAGGCAGTGCCTTCTCCCATGATCATTTTTGTACCCTGATGTAGTAAAATTGCTAAATATGGTGAAAGTTTTCTGGTGTTTCTTTCTTTAGCTGCCATGTCGGAGTCCAGTCTGCTCGGCTGTGTTGAATTCGATTTTATTGGCATGCTACCCAGTTTAACATTCATTTAAAGATCATTTTAAGGGGATTATGAAGCTGTATAAGTTAATGATTGAAAAATGCCTGAATGAGAGTATGTCTATCTCAGCAAGCCCAAGACGAAATCAACCTTTAAGATTATGTTTTCGTGGGGAAAGCGGGTTGAAGCACTTTCGGGGTGGCTTAAAAAGGCATGAAAAAACTTGCCAATTGGTGTCTATGTGGGTTTGCATTTGAGGGCTCTAAAGTTCAAATGGTCCCAGCTGCGAGAAGGACCCAGCTGCAGGAAGGGCTGGATCCGTGGGTGGTGGGAAGGTGTGAAGGGCTTCCGGCGGGGGTTGGCGAGGCTGGCCCCCCCCTGGCTTACCCACGGGGTCACCCCTCATTTAAAGCTACAGACCTGCTCTGGAAGTTCCTGAGCTGGGTCCCGGGCTTGCGCCCTCACTCAGCCTCCGTTCCAGGCCCCGCCGGCGCCCCCGCCGCGTCCAGGCCGCTCGCGGTAATCAGAAGCAGCTCTGGGCCGCCGCGGCCCGGCCGCCCTGGCTCTGGTCCCCGCGTGATGCCACGGGGGCGGCGGAGCCGGCGGGGCGGGGGCGAGTCTCAAGGTCCTCTCTGCACATCTGGCGCAATGGGGAGCCTCGCCTTTCTTCCCGGGTTTTGTTCTCACAGCTGTGTCCATTCCGCCCGTGACCCCCCGAGTGATCCCTGACAGTTGATGAATTGGCAGCGGCGGCGGCGGCGGCGGCGCGCGGGCCAGGCCGCGGAGGGGCCGGAGCCGGAGCCCCGGAGCAGACTCTCTGGCGCCAGGCGCGTGACGCCGCCCATTCACGCCGCCCTGCCGCCTTGTCCTCGCGGCGCCGCTCAGGCGGCTGCCATGGCAACCGCGCCGTCACTCAGCGCGCGCGCCCAGCTGATCAATGCCTGCGAGGCCAGGGCGTCCTCGGCTCGCCCGGCCCGGCCGCCGGCCCGCGCGCACCTGCAGCCTGCGCACGTCTTAAGTTTCGAGTGATTTGGGGGAAGGAAGGAGGGCCGAGAGAAAAGAAAAGGCAGGCGGGCGGGGCGCGGGAAAAGAGGGAGAAGAAAGAAACCGTCCTTTCGCAAAAGGAGGCGTAATGTGGCTTAGAGGTTGCCAAAGCAAAAGGTTTTGCTTTATTTCATGTGTTTTTGCCACCGAGGCATTCCGGTGGGTCCGGCACGAGGGAAGGGTGGATGGGAAGAAGGTCACTGCCTCAGCTCTGGGCGAGATTGATTTATCCCTCGGGTTCTTCTCGGTCTTTGCCGGGATGGCTTTGATCCCGGACTCCTAAAAATACCTTTGAAGGACCCCCACCCCGCCCCCCACTGTCCGACTGCCTTCCTCTTTGGAATACTGGGAGGTTATGAAAGAAAGACCATTAGACTTTTCCAGAAGGCCCCCCGCTGCCCCTGGGGAGGCGGGAGGATGTGCAGCCCCCGTCCGCGGCTCCTCGGAGCCTCAGCGTGCCCGCATTTGCGTCCTCATTACCACTACAAAGCCGGGACCAGACTGAGCCCCTTTATAATGCTTCATTTTCGACCGAGAGCATCTAGAGGCCAGAAGCTCTCGAGTCAGCCTGCAGACGCCTCCTCGGTCCCGGCTTTATCTCCAGGGAAAGTTCCATTTTAAGAACCAGATGCCAACATTCCCGGACAGTTTATGGCATCCGGATCCCTCAAGGGTGCTCATCTGCAGTTCAGAGTGTTGGTAGCAATTATTTATCGTCTGTCCTGGAGAGGAGTTCCTGAACATAAATGTCCTCTGCTGGCCCTAAAAACGGAAAGGGGCGGGGGGCGGGGTACGACGACGCACAACTGGCCTGTCCTGTTATCTGGTTTCGCAGAGTTTGTTGTGGTTTTCGAGGAAACAGCATCTGGATTGCATAAGGATTCGAGTTTTTTGCTTTACTTGTTTATTTAATACCTTGGCAAGAGGGAGCCTTTACCCTGAAACCAGATAACCGAATTTGGGTTTAAATCAGCCTTCCATAAGGGCAACGCGAAGGGGGGAAAATGAGAAAAGCCACGAAAAGCAAACAAGAGGATGTTTATTTTTCTCCCTTTGGGTATTCTGAAGACCTGCCTAACCTCTTACACTTCTTGTCGCACACAGCTAATAAATGGCATTAGCAAAGGGCTCCGGCTACTACAATGGCTTAACAGCCCTTCCTTCCCCCGCCCCGCCACGATCCTGGCCCTAATTCCTTATAGGATTCCCCCTTGGTCCTATTTGCCCCGAGCTCTCTAGAGCCCCAGGTAAAACGCCGTAGCAAATCCAATTGGTGACAACAGTCTGATCCCCTTTTAGGGGGATCACTTTTCAGCTCGGTTCAAAGAAAGCAATATTTGGGAAGTTTGGTGAAGGGGCCGATTTAACTACCAGTACTGCAGAATATTTTGTTACAGATGCTGTGAAGTGCACCGATTTGTGGTCCTGTTTGGCTTTCACAAAGGATTTTCCTGTGCCTTTTGTTCCGGTCACCAAATTAAAAAAGAAAATTAACTCGAGTGAGAGATAAGGTCTTGGAAAACAATCTCAGGCCGCCCGCGAGCTGGCGGGAGCGGGGCTGGCGTCGCAGAGTCTGCGCCGCCCGGAGGCGCGCGTCGCGGGGGTCCGGCCACCGCGGGGAGCCCGGGTCATCGCCCGGACCCCTGGCCGCCGCCCGTTGTGCGCGGGGAGTGCAGCGCCCAAGCCGCCAGCCCTGCCCACCAGCGTCCGTGGGAATCTGCAGCAGCCAACGACAGGGGCGGGCTTGTCCGGAATCAGGCTGCATCTTAAAATTGTAATGCGGCACCAAAAGCAAAACCCAGAGTCCCGGCCTGTGAGTCCTTAACAAGAAACACATTGTGTGCGCCACTGGCTCCCCCGCCCTCCCCGCGCTTGGCCCAAGCCACGTTTGCGCGCCTGCCCGCCCCAGTCGGCCAAGTCCGTGACTTCAGTGGGGAGGAACCCGCCGGCCCGCACCGCCCCACGTGCGCAGCCTGCAGGGGTGCCACCCCACGCACCCTTGCACTCCAGGTCCCGCGACCCGGCAGTGCTCTGCGGAAGCGCAACCTGCGCCTGCGACGCCGCGGATACTGCCCTTTGCTAATCCCAGAGGCCAGTCCCATCGTCCTGGGCAATGGTGGCACACACTCAGGCGACGCCAGAGCTGCTTGCCTGGCTGAGAGACTTGTGTCTTCAAGTTTAAGCTAAACCTTCCTTTCCTCCCTTCTTTTAGGCTTTCACTCCCAGGAGTGGCAATTTCTAAATCTCTCCCTCCGCATGCATGTCAGCCCAGCAAGCCCCCCTGCCACAGGCCTGTCTTGTGTCACTGTTCCCCATTTTGTGGGAAAGGATTGGACGTAGGCTACATCTTTAGGGAGGTGACTGCTGGAGAGTGGCTTGGACATGGCTCGTGAAGGAGGGCCTTGAGCATGGGTTGGAGATTTGAATTGGCTCTGTAAGAAGCGTATGTTCCCCTCGGTGGGGTCCTGCAGTAGTCATAGAGCCTCCAAAGCCTGGCCTCGCCTGTTTAGACACTGGAGCTGCCCTTCAGCCGGAGTCTGGAGGAGCCAGGGAATTAAACCCTGTGTAACTGTAATCTGCTCTCCTCCTCCGAATGTGAGTGAAGAACATAGACATTCTCTTTCAAAGAGAAAAGGACCCTTTGCCACGGCCTCTTTACTCAGTTTGAACATTCACAGCGGGTAAGATCAATCTTTTACCAGCCGGTGCACAGCTCACCTTGTTTTTCACTTGACCCAAAGAGGTTGGAAAGGCAGATGCTGCCCCCATTTCACGGAAGAAACTGAAGCTTGGATGAATAACAGACCCACATTTCCTAGAACAACCCCAAATAGGATGAGGAGGTGTGGGAATTTGATTGGAGGGGGAGTATTGATTTTTTTTTTAATCTGAAATTCATTGCAACCCTGTATGGCTAGATCGCTCAGCCTAGGAACTTGTAGAACACTTGGTAAAACACTTCACTCCAAAGTTAGTGGAGTGATGGAGCTTGACCTTGGATTAACCAAAAGTCAACTCAGATCTTAGGACTTTTCAAACCTTCCTGTGTATAAGAATAACAAGATCACACCATGAAGTCCAGGGTCACATCTCCAAATTCAAATTGAGCAGGTTTGGTGAGCAGCATCGGAGGAGAGGCTGATTGGGGTGGGGTGGAGGCTCCCTTAGAAGCTTCATGTAAATACCTCCCGAAACAGCCTTGCCCTAGGCCATCTACCTGGTACAAATGAGCCAACTTGGATCCCTTTAAGGAACTGAACATTTTGGAAACTCAAGAAAAGTCCATGGGGCTGGGATTGTGGCTCAGGGGTAGAGCGCTTGCCTCACACGTGTGAGGCACTGGGTTCAATCCTCAGCACACATAAAAAGTAAATAAATCAAAGTATTCTCTACAAATAAAAAACAAACTTAAAAAAAAGAAAAGTCCGTTATATTTACCTGCAAGTTTAAATTTTTTTTTAGCTTTTTTTCTTCTTTGTTCCTTCCTGATGTTCCATTTTTTTTAATAATTTCTTTTTCAAGAGTGTTTTTAGACATTCTTTTAAGGTAGGTCTGTGGGCAACAGGTTTTTGTTTTCATGCATTTGAAAGCTTGTTTTCTTCTTCAGTCCTGAAGGATATTTTTGCTGGATATAGAATTCTGAGTTTTCAGTTCCCTTCTCCTCGAAGTTGGCACGTTGTGAACTTCCTCCCATCGTGACTGCTGAGGAGAAATGTTGCAGTTGCCTTTTGCCCTGTAGGTAAGAGTCCTTTTCTCTCCCTACTTTCTTTGCCCTCAGTTTTCAGACGTTTATGATGTATCTTGTGAATTTCTTTAAGTGTATTCTCTTTGAGGCTCTCTTTGCCTTTTTTTTTTTTTTGCCAAACTTGGGCAATTTTCAGCAATTATGTCTTCACATACTATTTCAGTCCTTCCCTTCCCCTTCTGGCACTTGGTGACAATCAAGTGACACAGATCCCCAGATCTGTGAGGCTATGTTCAGTTTTTAAAAGTTGATTTTCTCTGTTTCTCCTTTTTAAAATGAGTGGCTTCCATCTTTCTGTCTTTAAGTCCACCAGTTCCTCCGCCTCTTCTCTTTGTTCTTGAGCCCATCCAGTGAGTTTCCTTCAGCTATTATTTTTTAGTTCTGAAAGTTTCTTTTGGATCATCTTTGTGTCTTCTATTTCTTTGCTGAGAGTTTGGTTTTTCGTTTTTTCTGAGGACGTTCGTAATTATGAAAAGATTTTTATGATGGCTTCCTTGTTAGATAATTGCAACATCCATGTTAACTGAGTATTGGCCACCATTGATGGTCTTTTCTCATTCAAGTTGAGCTTTTCCTGGTTCTTGATATGATGAGTAATTTTTAATTGAAACCCGGACAGGTGGGTATTATCCAGGAGACTGAAACTTATTTGAAATTTCTACTGCAGCAGGCGTCTGCCATCACTGTCCTGATACACTCCCCTTTCCCTGGAACCTCGACTGACACCACTGGGAGGTAGCAGATACCCCAACCTCCCTTGTCCTCCTTTGAGTCCACTCAGTGGATAGCAAGTAGTGCCTGTGAGCCTAGGGGTAGGAGTGGGGCTTCATAGGCTCCCACATGGTTTTTACTTACCTGGCGTCCAGCAGGCTCAGACCTGGCCAGCTGGGAGGACTGGCTCCTCCCTGTTGACCTTCTGACACATCTGTCGTAGGGAGAGGCTCTTGGGACGGCATGTGGAACACGGGCAGCTAGTTCTGGGGTGGAGCTGGGGCCCATTTCTTCCTGTGGCTAGAGCAGAACGGTTATCATCTGGATGGTTTTGGTTTCTCAGTGTCTGTCTCACAGTGGCCATGTCACAAATCTGGGATTCTCGGAGCCCACCGTGCCATGAGGCACCCACCTTGGGGGGGTGAAGAGGCCTTGTTTTCTTCAAGTCTCTGCTCAATTGTCACCTTCTCGGTGGGGCCTCCTGGGACCACTGGATTCACAATCATTGCCCATTTGTGGTCCTGGCACCTTGCATTGCCCACCCCTGGTCCTCTGGTGATCCGGGCAATTGACTCCCCAGTTTTTTCCTTGTCTCTTTCCTTGAGAGTGTAGTATCCTGGTGGTGGGAGGTTTTTGTTGGTTTTGTCCCCTGGTGTTTCCTAAGCTCCTAAGAGAGGGCCGACACTCTGAGGAGTTCCGTAAATGCTAACTGAATACGGGGATGGATGGATGCATGGATGGTGGATGATGGATGCCCCAGAGCTTGATTTTGTTGGTGCCAAGAGTCACATTGGCTTCAATTTCTGAGCTTGGAAAACCTGTCCTCTTTTCCAGCCTGAAGTGAGATCTGACTCCTGTCCAGGCTGTGACTTCCCCCTCTTAAAACCCACTTTGTTATCTTACTACCCCGCAGTTTTCATCAGATCTGTTTGCACGTTCATTAACTCACGTAAACGTTAATAAAAGGACTATGAAAACAGCTTCCTACATGTTTCCTCTTGCTTTCACTCAGGTGTAATTATACGAACACCCAACAGGCCATGTATGCTGATGGGGTAATCCCCTTTATTGTGCTTCAGGTGACAACTCCTCTCTGGGGACACACCCAAATACCCCCTGTCTGCATTTCCCACTCTGCCTTCTGCGTGGCTCAGGGTTCTCAAGGAAGCCTCTCTCTCTCTGACGTGGTGGCAGCCCTATCCATTCTCAGCCCAGTTGGGCCTAGGTACTCACTCATTCTTGACTTTAAAAGTGCTTGTGAATTCAAAGTGGAAATTCACAAGTATTCATCCTCTCCTCTGCTGCTTCCTGGTCACAACTCTTCATCTATCTGCAAACGCCCCATGCTGCTGAGCATAATAGTGGTTTCTCCATCCCTTTCCCTACCTGAGTCCAAGGCCCTGTCCCTCACATTCTCCCTGGAGCCTCTCACTGAGAGGAAACTGCTCTGAGACAGATGTCAGTGTTCCCACAGCAGCAGAGGAGGAACCTGCATGCTGCAGGTCACTGTGAAAGAAGCCAGGCAGACCCCTGAAGTGGCTTTACTTCCTTCCTGGCGTACTGTGAGCCTGGATTTCCCAGCCTCCTTTGCAGTGAGGTGTGGCCATGGAACTGAGTTCCCCAGTGGTTTTCAACCAGGGCGATGACATCTAGTAACATGTGCAGACCTTTTTGCTTGTCACAACTGGAGAGGGCAGAGAGCTCTATTGGAATCTAGTGAGTGGAAACCAGGGAACACCCTGCTCCACGTTCCCTACTGCAGAGGGTGGCCCTGCAACAAAGAGGCGGCTCAAAGTCACAGTGTCCCGGGTGAGGAACTCTTTTCCAACCCGTGAAGCAGGAGCTAGTTGTGAGTAAATCTCAGGCCTGGTCCGTGAAACCACCTCAGAGGGGTTCTGGCTTGTCTTCAGGATTGGCGTACACAAGTGCAGACACCGTGGAAACCTCCCTTCAACATGGCAAGCCACCAAAATGTGAAGAACCCTGTCCCTGATAGGAGCTGCCTGCCAGTTGGTAACCCTCATGTTAAATCTGTGTGAGAACTGAACTTCTTGGGGCGTCCGTGTGCAGGGTGCTGGGCTTGTCCACGTAGCAGTGGACGATCCTTAGTCGCCTCGGCTGACTCGGTCACAGGCACTTCTGCTTATTTTCTTCAACAGATCCTGCACTGCGTGCAGCTGTTCTGGACCAGCCCACACATGGCCGTAGACACTACCTGGGGAACACCCGGAGTCCTTGTCCTCAGTCGTTCTAGTCCTACAGGACTCCAGAGTGGAATCTCTGTATCTACAGTCTGCAAGTTTAATTAGAAACATCCTCTCGTGCCCAGTCATCTTAATGTCCAGGATTAGTCAAAATAAACACAAGTTCCTGTTTTTTTTTTTTAAACAGATTTATCAGATTGGTTAAAAAAAAAAAAGTCACAGTGACCCTTCACTGAGAAGGATGCTAGATTTAGCAGATAAAACACAGGTACATGCTAAGACTCTTATTCATGGTTCATCTAGAACTCAGATAGGTGTCCTGCATCTTATCTGGCAACCTTATTTACTGAGCACTTACGTTCTCCCAGGTATGTGTGAGATGTAGCCAAGGCTCAAAATAAAACTAGAGGGAGGCATCGTGATCCTCCTCATTCTTGGGTGGGGACAACAGAATGTGAAAGGTGAGGTGCTTCCTGGGCTCGCCCCACCCGTCGGGAGCAGTGTGGGGTTTCTAAGAAGATTGTGGTTGCCCAGGTTTCCCGCTCCCTCACTCCACTTCCATCCTTTTTCTTCAGTCAAATACGGGGAGAGCTCTTCCTGAGCAGAGCAGAGAAAGGAGGCCCCGGGCAGTGGCGACTGCTGCTTTGCTGGTGCTGCCAGAGAAAAGCGTTACCACCTGGCCTGGGCGCTCCTCTGGGCTGGGTGTGGGGCAGGGGAAGGGACTCAGCTTTTCGCAGGCTCCTGGGCGATGCTGGGTCATGCTGTGAGGAGCGCTCTGGGGCCTGGGCTCTGGCAGAGGAGGAAAGGTGCAGTGGTGCGTACAGAGATGCCTGGGGGCTCCTGGCACACCCTGTGTGAGCGGCACCCGCTCTTCCTCATCTTCGCCATCGCTGGTCATACAGATGGTGCTGGTGTTGGAAGTGACTCTCTGATGACAGAATGGAGGCTCTAACATTGGGGGACCTTGAAGGAGCTGTAAGAATCAACCTCTGCACCGATTAAAAACACCATCATTGGAACAGTGTGACAAACGGTAGTCCGTTCACTTTTGAATGGAAATCACTTAATATTAGAACAAAGGACAAATATTTTATTTTTCCTTTATACATTTATTTTTATTTTTATTTTTTTGAGATGGGTTCTCCCTAAGTTGCCCAAACTGACCTTGAACTGTGATCCTCCTGCCTGAGCCTCCGGAGTCACAGGGATGGAGGGGAAGCAGTTCTCGCCCAGCCGATGGCAGCCGTCCTGGGTTGGATGGGATTGGGTCGGGTTCCGCTTTGGGTTTCTAGTCTGCAGTTTTTCTCCAGGAGTTTCCTGGGTCCTGTTTGTTGACCTGCTCAAGCTCTGTGTGCTGTCCTCTGCCTGCGGAGCTCTAGTCCGTCAAGGCCACCTGCCCTTCCCAAAGGCCTGCCTTGCTGTGGCCCCGCGCCTTCCCGGTGCTCCTGGCAAGAGCAGGGAGCTCTGCCGCGGCCTGCCCCGGCCTGCTCAGGACCTCCCAGCGCTTCTGCAGCCCAGTGACTCAGCGTGACTTAGCAACCTGACTTTTCACGGAGCCTGGATATTCTGCCGCTCAGCCAACGCGGGCAAACATCCACATGGTCTGCACAATAATTCTAAATTACAATGTGGGGTTAAAAAAAAAAGGCTCCGATTTCCCCATACCAGGGTGGGCAGAGCCGTTGAACAAGGCTTTTCCCCTGGGCCAGCGCTGGGTGGTCGGGGAGCATGGAGCTTTGGGGCAGCACACCGGGAGTCCTGTGGAGAGGGGCTGATGGATGCCTCCTTGATTTAAAAATAAAATAGCTGGCCAGGAAGGAAGCGGCTCCATTTGCTTGCAGTGATTGCCACCATGCTCTACCAGCTTTATTTACTTGGGGTAGAGGTACTGCGTGTGGCACATTGCTCAGCTGAGTGGCCTTTACCTTCTTCTCTCTCTCTTCTCCAGCTGCACAGAGGGACAGCTGTTTAAAGGAGCGACGCGGCCCTGACCTGCAGAGGGGTTTCCTGCAGAGGCCTGCTGTGGGACCTGGCCAGCCTCCCCGTTTCTGCTCAGGACCACGGGCACACAGGGAAGGACACAGAACCTGCACCCTGTCCCCGTGCAGAGCTCTGCTGTTTTCTAGTAGCTAGTGGCGACTGTCCAACCGAACACAGAGACAGAGTCCGAGTGGAGGGGTGTCACAGAGCTGGGGGGGCGTGGTGCGTGGGTGGCAGTGTCGAGCCCCATTTTGGTTGAAGGTGGGTGAGGGCCGAGGCCAGGTGGGCCATGGTGATTCTTCATTCAGTGCCTCCAAGACCTGGGAGCCCGCAGCGGAGTGAGTGTCTCGTCAATGTCTTTAAGAAGAGGCCCATGGAGAGCTAGCCTTGCGGGGCCCACGACGGACAGTGCTCCCCTGGAAGTTGGATTTGAGCCCCTGGGATAGCTGCGCAGGAAACAGAGCCAAGCAGAGGGTGAGATGGCATTGCCCTGTGCCAGGCGAGGTCCAGGAGACGGGCAGGCCAAGCGTGTTGGGGAGCCTGGGCCGGGGGCTCGCCCAGCCTGGAGTGCAGAGGGCTGTGGGGGCAGGTGGGTGAGGCAGAATTAAGAGGGGCTGTGGCCATGCTGGCGGGTCAGCAGACCCGGCCCTTTCCCAGCCAGTGGCCTCGGGAGGTGGGCATTGTGACCTGGCGCTTTGGGCGCTGGGAGGGTGCTCAGGTGGAGAGACAGGGCTGGGGGCCACGGGAGGCCCTGAGGAGCCCCACCCCCTTGGTCTGGCTGCTCTGAGACAGGAGGGTGGACTCAGGAGCGGGGAGCCCACCTGCAGGCGGGGCGCTCGCTTCCTGCAGGCTCAGCGGCCATTTTGGAGCAGGTGAGTAGCAAGGTAAGGTTCGCACTGTAGAGAGCTCCTGGGAGCCTGCATGGCGGCCACCTAGGATGAAGGATGGGGAGGGACGGTCCGCAGGAGGGAGGGCGTCGCCCCTCCCCATGGGCTCCAGCAGACACAGAAGCTCAAGGTGACTGGGGGCGCGGCAGGAGTGCTGTGGGATTTCTGGGCTCCCCACCACACCGTGGAACTAAAAGGACCTTTCCTCGGGGCGTTTCTGCCAAGCCTTTCCTCTCCCGCTGTCTGTGATGGGGCCTCTTTGGGGTCAGGGAAGGAGACAGAGCCTTTCCCCTCAGCCTTTCCTAGGCTCCCCTTCAGTGGGCACCTGTGGGCTTCCAGGGGACGCCTGGCTCCTGGCTCGCTTGGGCCAGCCCGTGGTTCTGAAGGCAGCAGCTCTCGGGGTGGCCAGCCCTGGTGGCGCTGGGGTCCCCAGAGTGCAAGCAGAATGGCAGGCAGCTGTGTTCCCTGGTCTCTGGGGAGATGCCTCAGGCAGCCCTGGGTTCTCCCGGAGGTACCTTCAGGCTGGCAGGACTGAGCTGATGAACCTTTTACAGAAATACACGTTTTGAATATTTAATTGCTCACAGAGAGTTTTAAGATTAGGGAAAGTTGGAACCTTATATGAGACATTTGAAAAATTTCCTCTGACTCTGAAAATAAGTTTGCTTTTAAAGCAAAGAGATGATATCCAAGAGCAAGAGCCAGGCTTGGTGGCTTCCATGTGTAACCCCAGTGGCTCAGGAGGCCAAGGCAGGAGGATTGTAGGTTTGAGTTCAGGCTCAACAATTTGGCAGGGCCCTAAGCAACTTAGTGAGACCCCGTCTCTAAATATAAAAACGGGCTGGGATGAGGCTTGGTGGTTAAGAGCCTCTGGTTCAATCCCCGGTACCTTCCTCCCCTCCAAAAATCCAAGAGCAAGAAACCTCATCCAAAATGGCCATTTTCTTGAAAAGTAAAGAAGGCGTTAAGAATGGGAGAAGAAGGGACCTTGACTGGAACTGGCTCCCAGGTCAGTGCTGGGCAGTTGTGAAGGAGAGCCATAGACAGTGTGCGTGGCTATCCTGAGGGCAGGCACCTGCCCAGGGGCCAGTGGCCACTTGGCCTACTCCTGCTTGTCCCCTTAGGGAAAGTCCTGGGGCATTCAGTGCCACTGCCCTTTCCTTTGAAATGTACAATAACGCCATCATCACCAGACTCGTCCCACCTACCTTCCCTAAGCCAGCCTGGAAGCCTTAGGTCAGCGCTGTCCAGTTTCCTCAGAGGCCACCCCCCTTCACGATGGCGACTTTCCGCCCAGCACCTCGGCTTCCTGCAGGATGCGCACACATCCGCTGTCCCAGGCTGGCGCTCAGCCGGTGGCCTGGACGTTTGGCTTGTCCTTAGGCAGCCAAGGAAAAGGGTGTTGGGCCGTCTTCAGTATGAAGGAGAGCCTCCAGCTCCGGAATCGACATCAGTGAAGAGTATTTTACTTTCTGGAAGGGTGGAGGCCATGGGCAGGCAGAGGGCTGGGGAGACCAAGAACAGCTTTGGGTCCAGTCTTCATGAGCATGTCCCCGCCTCAGTTTCCCCAGAGAAATTATCAGTAAGAAAACAAAAACCAAAATTTTATAAAGTATGCAAATACCCATAGCGTGAACATTTAAAAACTGCATTTTAATGATGAAAAGGAGCCCAAAGCCAAAGGAGAATGGTGTTCTGGATCCTGACTGGTGCATCTGTATTTCAGGTGACGGCTGATGTTGGATAGACACCCACGGTGAAATGGGTGCACGGCAGGCCGGTGAACACAGCCTACACCCACGTGGTCACCTTTCTTCTTGGTCAGAGGACCTGAAGTCTGCTGTCTTGGCAGACTTCCCATGCACAGCGCAGTAGCATTGGCCCGTCCTCCTGCTGTGCCTTAGGTCTCTGGGCTAATTCATCCTGTAAACTGCAACTTCCACACTGGGACCTTCGCCTCCCCGTGTCCCTGTGACGCCATGACTGCTCTGTTTCTATGCAGGCAGGGTCCTTTTTTATTTTAAAATATGACATTTTGTTCACCATGGATTTTTGCTTTGATTTTGATTTCTTAAATATTGCATTAGAATATGATTTCTCTTTTTCGATCCCCTTTAGCTTCTGCATTCAAGACCTCACTCCTTTCAATCAGACCTCACCCTGGTGGGACCTCAGGGCTCCACTGTGCACCGTGCACTGCCAGGGTCACTGGGCACAGATGCCCTGATGAGCACTTGGGTAGACTCCCTCAGAAATGGGCCCCACACAGCCCGGCCTCCATCCAGGCTCCCAGGTCTCCCCTGACCCCACAGCCTGGAAACACCCTCTCTGTTCAGGACCTGCTCAAAGGTGCCCTTCTCTATAAAGCCTCCCAGCCTGCTCTCCCCCAGGACACCTCTGTGCCTCTGCTCCTCTGGTCACTTCAGCTCTAGCTCTGATGGCCTGCCCCATACAGGTACAGCTCCTCACCACATGCTGTGTCCATCTTCTGCCCCTTAGGGTGGGCACTCTGCTTTATTTATTTATGCTTTGCCTGGTGGGTGGGGGTCTCGATGATGACCAAGAAGGAGTTACTGGGCTGGGGCTATGGCTCAGTGGTGGAGTGCTTGCCTAGCACTTGATCTCCACATACAATTAAAAAACAAACAAACAAAAACTCAAAACAGCACACTAGAAATGAGTTGTTGAGTGCTAAGATGGTTTTGCTGGTGTTGGTGAACCATGAGTTTGAAAAAAGTACTGGTCCCAAGTGTGTCCTCTCCCTTGTTTCTGTGTGCCCTGGGACCCTCCATGGAACCCAGGATTACTGGTCTGTGGTTGGTATAGGAGTAGGAAGAGAGGAAAAGTGGTCATACCTGAGAGCAAGTTTGGAGGACCAAGGACAGCCTTGTGGCTGGAGGAGAGGGTGGGGAGGCTCAGGGCACCCACCCATGAGCCTGTTCAACGGGCATTTGAGGGCTGGCTGTGGGGTTTGACTACATGAAAGACAAGCGAGTTGCACTATTAACACCTGGTAACGTGATGGGGGAGGAGCCAGCAGGAAGGCTGACCCTGAAAGGGGTCCAGCGGAGGAGGGCTCCTGAGACACCTGGATGGTAAAAGTCGCAACAGAAAGAAGACATTACGAGTATGTGACAAGTTTCCAAAAGTAGATCTTCAGAGAGCTCTGAACACATGCATGTATACACAAGCACACACGCACACACATTCATAAAGTGCACACATGCATTCCCACATATACAGGCACACATGCCCACATATACAACACATGCACACATACACATGCACACACAGGTACACAGTCACCAAGTACACACAAACACACTACACACATGCTCACACATATACCTACATGCACACACAAACACAGAGACAAATTCACATGTGCTCACCACGTATATACCCATGCATGTACATGAGCATGTACACATACATGTGCCATAACTCACATGCCCACAAATGCACACAATGCAAACACATGCACACACGTGAACACAAGCATTGCACATACAGGAACACACTCACAGGTGCTCAGACATGTACATGCACATACATGCGCACACATTCACTCACATACATGTGCTGATGCACATACATACAAGCTCACTTGCACACACACATACATGCCCAGACACATGCACACAAACACACACATAACTGCATGCACATACACACATACAAAAACACGTTTGCACTCATGAACACACACACATGCACACATACACAATGCATAACCACACACCCACTCATGTGCACACATAAGCACACACACCTGACACACTTTCTTTTGCCTCAGATCAAAGATATGGGAAGTTAAATGCTGTGAACAGCTATTGGAAATTCCAGCCCAGGTCACTTGATAGTACCGTTAGCTTTACCGCCTGGCATATTTAAGAATAAATCCGTCTGTAATGAGACGACAGCACACAGATTGTTGCTATTATACGATGGACTTCTGGAGAAGAAGTGAGCATGATTTAGGAAGGTCATAAATTGTGGGAAGCAAAAACACAGAACACAGACTCCGGGAAGCCAGAATCCAAAGCTCTGGGCTTTTGTCAAGACGTTCGCCTGTCACCGGACAGCAGGCCGTCCCCAACACCACGGCCTGAGCAGCAGCCCTCCAGCGTGCATGGCCTGAGGGCTGGGGCTGGGGAGCTGGAGTCCAGGAGCCTTGCTGGGGCTGTGGGCTGCTTTCCCCTCCATGTGCTCCGACTCTCTACAGGGACTTGTCATCTGTAGGTCCCCCTGGGTTCCTCACCTGACAAGTCCCATGACCACGAAGGCAGCCACGTGTCACATAGCCTCACTGCTGCCCAACTCGACTGCACCCCAGAGGACGCCCTGTTATGGTTTGGATGTGAGGTGTCCCCCAAAAGCTCATGGGTGAGACAATGCGAGAGGGTTCAGAGGGGAAACGCTCAGGTTGTGGAGCCTTAATCTCATCAGTGAATCAATCCCACTGGGGCCGGTGGGGTGTGGCTGGAGGAGGGGGGCATCGGGGGTGTGGCTTTGGGGTGCATATTTGTATCTGCCTCCTGACCATCATGAGAGCTGCTTCCCTCCACCACGCTCTCTGCCGGGTCGTTCTGCTTTACCGTAGCCCGGAGCAACGTCTGTGAACTGAGAGCTCTGGAACCATGAGCCTCCAAATAGGCCTTTTCTCCTCTCCCGTTGTGCTGGTTGGGTCCTCTAGGCACATCAGCGAGAAAGCTAACCCAAAACACCCCCCTCTCTAGAGGGAGCAGGGACGAAGTCACACTTCACAGCCAAGTCCAGAGAGGGGTTTTGGGGCATCTTGAAAAACAGGATTTAGGAGGACAACTAAGGAGTGGGATCCTGAAGGGTAAGTCTGAGACCAAGGTCAGCGTCAAGTTCCTCTTTGGGATGGGATATATTCTGGGAGCACATGGGCCATCTCCTCCCGAAAGCTCCCCCCACTCCCGAGAGTCAGGGGTTACTATTTACAGGTAACATTTGCCCATGAGAATCCCACTACCCTGACCTGAGGGGAAATGGCCGTCTGCTGGTGGCAGAAGTTCTCTGGGGCAGGAGGAATGAGCCTGTGATGAAAGGTGACTGAGATGGCAAGGAGAGGTGTTAGGTGTTGTAAACAAGTCAGGATGGCGCCTGGCATTTTGCAGAGGGAGTGGTGTGTGAAGTAGCGCCAGTGAGCCATTAAGTGTGGAGATTTCTTATTGGTTGACTGCTGTATCTAGTTTATGTTAATTAAGATAAGCTGTGTGGAATGTATATATACCCCTCCTGTCCTACAATAAACGGCTCCCACTCCTGCTGTATCAATCTACACAAGCTGCTCGTCACCCCCCCGGTTATTTTGCTGCAGCTGGACTGTGGCAGGGAGGACAGACCTAGAGAGATGCCATGGAACTCCACACCCTGGGAGTGAAACGTGCCCCAGGAAGCTTTGTGGGACCTGGGCAAGTGGCCCTGATGTCCAGCAGGGCCTGGGTCTGATTTTTTTTTTTTTAACTAGTATCTGGTAAAAACAGTAACTTCTGAACCTCTGAGCTGTCCTGGGGCTCTGACAGGGGACTCCAGATAGTAGGAGTGGACCTTTGATGGGAGAGACACACCCCAGAGGAAGGGCTGGGGTCCCAGAGGAGAGGGGCTGGGGGAAAGGGCTGAGCTGGGATTCCTGTTGGGAAGGCTCCAGTCCTCGCTGGCCCAGCTGAAGCCATGTCTTGTTTGGTGCCCACGGCCCAGGGGTCCAGAGGCCACCTCAGCGGAGGAAGTAGCTCCCTGTTCTGTGCCTTGTTCCTGTGAGGCCTCCTGGCTGGGCGAGGGCAGGTGGGGGCTCAGGCTGGGGCAGGGAGGAGAGGCCTTAGGCTGTTGCATGTGAGAGGAGGCTGGAACCTGTGTCACCTGGCCTGTCTGGCAGTGCTGTCTGGGCCAAGGCGAAGCCTGCAGGGGGACCCGTCTCAGCCCCAGCACTGCCACCGGCAAAGGCCTCTGTTTTCCAGCAGTTCATCTCCTGATCGGCCCGGGGACCTCACCAGAGCCTCTCACTTGTCCCTGCAGCACGGTGAGGGTGCTGCTCAGGCCCCAGGCTGCTGGAGCCCAGTGCAGTGCGGAGGGGGCCTCAGCGTGGAGCCTGGTGGCTGCAGTCATGGGAACCTGAGGCCCAGCAGTGGTGTGACCGGACCCCAGTCTTGGTTAGGTAATAAGCCTGGGGAGACAGAGTCTTGGGAAGATCAAGGAGCAAGGGTATTATTCTGCATCTACAGATCACCCCACGACTGGGGTCTGGGGTGGGAGGGGCGCACTTCTGATTGTCACATGGCAAGGGGACAGCGAGGTCCCGGGTCCGCCTTCCCCCACTTGCCCTTCCTGTCTGCCATGGAGAGGGCCTTGAGTGGCTGTGGTACTTCAGTCCTCAAACCCAGTCCTTCCCCACTCCCCTCTGAGGTGGTCCCTGGTGAGGGGGCCCAGGAAGAGGGCTGCTCAGGCCTGCAAGTGGAGCTGGGCCTCAGGGCAGGAATTCCCGGGCTCCCACAAGCCCAGGGCATGGTTGGGGAGCTGGGGCTCCCTGTGGGCAGATCCCTGGTCCTACAGACCCCAGGTTAGTTTGCCGGGGCCTCTGTAGCGGAGCACCACAAACTGTGTTGCTTGAAAAGTTCTGGAGGCTGGAAGTCTGAGACCTCGGTGCTGCAGGTTGGTCCTGAGGACGTGAGGAGGGATCCGTTCCAGGACTCCCTCTGGCTTGTGGGCGGTGTCCTCCCGCAAGTCATCATGTCACAGTTCCTCTGCATATCTCTGTCCAAGTTTCCTCTTCTTAGAAGGCCATATGTCACATTGCTTTTTGTCCTCATAAAATTATCTAAGGATTAGGTTGGATGAAGACACTCTCATGACTTCACTTTAACTTGGTCACCTCTGTAAAAACTTTCACTCCAAACCAGGTCACACTCTGCTGTACTGGGGGTTAGGACTTGAACATACATTTTTTTTTTTTTTAAGAAAATCCTTAACTGACCCATAGCTCTGTGGGGGAGGGCCCAGCCAGAGGAGGTTGGAGCAGCGTCACG